CCAACAATTAGATATATCAATTTCCATTATTCCTTTAATCCAATGAAAGTTTTATTGTTTACATTACTCTTGAAGTGACGAGGATTTCATCTGAGCATGCTCTTTAGCAAAATTGCTAAATTTTCCTCACCAAATTTAAAATGATATATTTCACCGCTTATACTAATCTTTTTAAAGATAAAAATCGATTTTTAAAGTAGGCATGAGTATTCGCAGTGGATTTTCATACCATGACATTAATAATTCACCATTTTTAATATGCCTATCCTATAGCGAGAATTCAGGTGAAGTTCGTGCAAGCATACTCCTATTTGTCTGTCCATAATTTCCAGTGCACAAAATTATAAATAGTTCTAGAGATTTTAATTATTCAGAAGAAAATTTGAAAAACCACCTGAATAGAATCGATCAAAGCAATATGAACAAAATATTAAACTTCAAAACATGCATAATTTATTTTGTTGTTCGTCGTCTCTTTGTTTCCGGAGTAGGAGAATATTCCGGGAATAATAACGTCAATTCTTCAGAATTTCTTTTCAGTGAATTATGTTGGGTGTTCCGGGGATTAAGTTTTCTTCTAAAATTTATGCAAACTAATTATGCATAAGAACTTAGGCATAAACTTTGCTGTTGCACCAAACAATCGGCGATTTTCTTTGAATTAATATTTCTTTTTAAAAAAGATGAGAATATGATACCATCTTCAACAAAAGGATTAAAGCTAAATTTCCCGTGTGAATTTCTTCTTCTAAAGTAAATGTATTTATTCTGGAGGCTGATTAATGTAATCGGTATTATTTAATATCGTCAGAGAAAAATGACATGCTATAACCTCTATCTCTGTATAGAAAATATCAATTAACTTCTTAACACTGACTGCACTCTCGCCAGGTATAACGGTAAGGTGTGCATCGCGCTCTGTGAGAGACTTATAGCTAATCAGAATAAAAAGATCATCCAAATGGTTATAATGCTGATGTACGACTTTAATTTGACGACCAGAACCTACCGGTATCTCCTGTCTATTAAAAGCAAAAACCTGAACAACACTAGAGGCCATGAAAGAGTAAATAATTTGGGGGTGTTGTTCAATTAGTCATATTTAAGTGAAGGGAATCTTGACGTAAATTTTTTTCATAAAAATTAAAAGTTCAATCCAATTATTATCAAATGGTAAATAATTGTATTAAAAGTTATACGTTAAATGAGCTCTTTGACATGCAAAACCCGGTCCGCCTGATATATAATATAGTATACGTATCTAGATTTTGACTTTGGTAACATTTCACCACGACTTTCAAACTCCGTGAACGAAAAAGGAAAAAAAAAATACAGTAAGTCATGACGTTGCGCACGGTGTTGGTACACATTGACGTTACGTCAAAATAACGTTAAAAAGTCATAACGTTGTTATAACGTTTTGAACCTTATACATGCATATTTTAGATCTTTAAATGAATTTTATTTTTCAAAAGTATAAAAAAAAAAATAAAAGGGCACCACATAATGTCCAATGTCTGAACCTTCTTTTCTGAAATATTTAGATGTTTATTAATAAATTTTGATAATAAAATTTTAATTACTGAAATGCCAAAGGCGCTCTGACAGTGAATATTCCTCTTTCTATTTTTCTCACTTGTCTGTCTTATAAGGGAAAATGCATACATGTAAGTAGTTTTCCCTTTCAACCTCCTTCAATATTTTTTTTCAGTTAGGTCATTACAAGTCTTTTATTTCTATATAGCGTCCGCATGCGCTTTGGGTGTATAGAGAAAAAAAATGAGTGTTAAAATTTTTATACTTCCTACGTTTCAACATGTTCAATGGAACTGGTGTCATTTTGAATAAAAAAAAAGTATCAATTTAGTATATTTAGTGGGTGAAAAAAGGAAGGATGGAGAAATTTAACCATTATTAAAAATCTGGTTTATCACGAAAATTCTAAAATCTTTTTACTATTTTTGGCGAAAGAAGGGGGAGGGGGCTCTTATAATGCTTACTTCGTTTAGTAGGGTATATTTTGTGGAACGATATCATTTTGGGATTTTCATAATTTTACCTTTGGTACATGTACACATGATGATTAAGTGTAATAAATATAATTTGTGAAAAAATCTCAACAACAAGCTCCTGCATGGGGTTGAATATGAAAAAAGCCACGGGGGGTGGCTACGCTCCATTCAAACCTCGGATGTGATTGGTGGAGGGGATCCTTACATTTCTCCGCCGGAAACTGCCTTATCACTCATTCCATATCTCGCTCTGCATAACGTTCTTCGAAAATGTTTCTTAATTTGTGCAATTCTTTATCGTAAACAGGTTTTGGTTACATCGTCATGTTAATAGGCTTTGAAAGCAAGAAGAAACTGTTAGTGTGCCACAAAATAACCCCGATTTCAAATGTATGACATAAAAGCACATGACACGGCGATAATAATTTGACGTCATCCGAGGAACTCCGAGTGAAGCCACGGCGATAATACCTGACGTACCTCCCGACGTCATATGTACGCATTGCGTAAAATGACGTTTTTCGTACCTGTGACAAAATGGCTACACTTTTATTGATGCTTGCATTTATTTCATGTAGACCATTACTGTAAAGATTGTGTAATTAGTAAATGCAGCATTAAATGTTCTTTCAAACAACATACATGATTGCTTTATATCTTACATTAATTTATATATTTTTGATATGTTACTGAGACATATTTAGTAACAATACAGTGACTCGTGCGTGCATAACAAAATGGCTACACTTAAGAAAGCCTTCCTAATATTTACGTTGGAAAAGTAATATAAAATGTATCAATTCAATTAATCTAAGAAATATATGTACTAAAAGATTATTCACCAAAATTAATATTTGTCTGGGATTTATGTCTGGTACACATCTCCATTTCGGCTAATGTCAGTGTAAGGAAACGATTTCTTACTGTTAGACATTTTAATTACGCACTGTAGATCCAGTCTAAATTCATGAAATTGATAAAATGATGTTAAAAACTCAACAATATCTTAAAGAATGCATATATTTTACTGAACCCCATAAATGTCATTTAATTCAGAGAATTGTAAGTGCATTTTTCATACCTTTTAGTTGCGCGAACAATAATTGATGTAACGTCGGACACGGGAATTTCGCCGTAAATGACCAATACTGAGTAACGCCTCATCATAGTTAAAATAATTTTAAATTATTTAAAAGAAAATTTTAAGAATTATTCATTACTTGAGATAACATAAATGATTTTATTTTTAATTCAAAGTAAATATGGCATCGCGAAACCGCCAATTTCTTCGCGACATAAAGAGTTAGATATTATAGGACCAACACCGTGCGCAACGTCCATGCAAGACTATTTTATTTCTAGACTCCAAAAAATATTGATTGATTTTATCATATAATTATATTTTACAATGTACTTGAAAATAGAATAACGAAATTTCAAAATTTCAACTATTCTGAATTTTTCCTGCCCGCCTTATTAAAATTCTGTCTAAAGCCGCCAAATTTTATGGAACCGGTGGTAGCTGGTTTGGATAAATTATACTGTATCTAATTTAGTTGGCCTTCGCTAAATTAATTCATTTTTTTAAGCAAGCGCAACACATTCATGGGATCAGTTTGACATGGAATGCAGAGAACACCCACCAAGGCAAAGTGATGGGCCTTACAACACTGTATGATGCACAGTGTATGCTTAGAAATTTTAAAAGCTATAGCTGTTTCTTTATCAGTACTTATGTAAGATTGCCCTGGATGGCCCCATTCGCCAACTCGACCAACTGTCATATATAAAAATTTGAATTCCTAAATTAAAAAATTGTATATATGACGAATTTTAATGTAACAATTCAAATTTTTATAGAGGACACCTCGTTCAATTCACACTTTTCAGCACACTCTAAGATATTTTAAAGTTATAACCGTTAATAATCATACGCATTTGTTTGTTTTTCTTTTAATTTGTAAAAAATATAAAAATCTTGAAATTTTACAAAATATATAAATGTGTATATATGATTAGTTAACATAGAACAAAAAGCTGCGCGAAAAGGGAGCACAATATAAAAGAATAAAATATACAATAACAAAAAAGTTGATAACACACAGCTCTTAATAGACAAAAGAGTGTGTAAGGCACAGTAAATTTTTTTGGGTTACATATAGCATTTCACGTAAAAGCAGTCTGTACAGTCAGGCAGTGCATGGTGTCTTCCAGAAATGGTCCGTACGAATAAACAGAATTATAACAATTTCAGAGAAATCGGAATAAATTTTGTATTTTTATGACGTGTCTTTTGTGTCTCGTCAATAGTGGCGAACTTGATGAGACGATGCTATCCAGTTTCTTGTTACATAATCACAATATTTTGTTCTTTTTAGCGGAAGTCGTCTATTGTGACGGGGGCACCCCATTATACACGGGTCTGATTGGGGAGATAGTGGCACATTTAAATCTATCGTTTCCCTGTTATTCGCCGTGTCACCCGTGATGTACAATTAGGAACACATTTCTGAGCGGCCTTTTAAAGCGGTTCCATCTCGTTCCTCTTTTATCACTTTGTACAAATTTCTGTACAGTAAGTTACTTAGACCCTGTCTCTTCTTTGGGTCTAATTTCTGTTAATTTCTCACTTTTTCTCCAGTAGCTCCTGCAGTGCCCCTATGTAACTCTGCGCCATTTGCAGTGTTTCGTACTTGGATAGTTTCTGGTCTTCTCCCGCCGACGGAATCACCTCTCGCAGACGATCGAACGCTACGTTCAGACTCTCCATCCGCCGTCTTTCTCTGGCGTTTGCCGCTAGTCGTCTGCGCTTCAGCACGTCTTTGCTTGGAGCAACTGAAGTTCGCTTTTTAGTTTTGGTAGAACTTTTCAATGAAACTTTTTCGCTGTTTAGAGAGTAGATATGACTAGCGTGGAAGCCGGAATCACCGGGGAATAAGAAATGGTTCGATCGCACCAGTCCGTGACGTGGGGTGAGGGGGGTATCGGGGGTGGAGAGGGGCGTGTCGCTATCACTGGGGATATAAGAAGAGGGGGTTCCAAAACTGTCCGTATCCATGGTATCTGTTGGGAGACTGCTGTTTAAATCCTGGATAGAGAAAGTCAAGGCACACGGCATCCCTGTCTTCTGCGCGGAGTCTGTGTCGATAGCAGCACGCATCACAGACGACGGTAACATGAACGAATCCATCCTGACCAGTTCCTGCATCATATTTGTATAGCGTCAATATCTCTTCTTCGTTAAGTTCTCTAAATTATTAATTTCTATCGTAAAATAGTTTTCCAGCTGAATTGTTTCAGTGGCCCTTTTCTTGAGTTACACATGGGGTTTTAATTTCATTTCGACATCCCCTGTAGTTTTGTCGATATTTAACTTAGTACGCTGGTTATGGGGACCACACTACGATGGAATTGTACAAAATAAGACAGCTGGGGAATGGAAATGCAGTTAACTATTACTATTTCTCCCTCTATTTATACTCTACCTGAAGAAATTGGATAAAAATTTTAATCGACCAATCAACTGGTCGGTTGTCGAGTCATCTATATTTCAGCAGTCACGGTCCACTGGGTGATTCTCGGTGCGTACCCATCGACACGCCCATAAACAATGCCATCCATATTTAGTTGACAATCTCTGTATCTGGGTTCAAAGAGAACTGTGCATTTCTTTTGAATTTTTGTTTATTGTTCCCGGAAACACGAAGAGGTTCTCAATGCGATAAAGTGTCTGCACCCTTTGGTGGCGGAGCTTTGGGTCCTATAGCTGCGCATTTTCCAATAATTGCAATTATTTATGTGCATTCGCGTCCTGAAATGATTTACTCCCGAATACCAACACAGATCGTCGCTGTGCATACCTGCAAATTCATGCAAATAAATGAACCCGAGTGCAGACGAGAGCAACCGTACACTGCATGTCGACCGGGCTTTACAGTTGCAATGATATTGCAGAATAAAATAATTATCACGTGAAAACGTAAGATCAGCTTTTTTCTCTCAATTTCTAGAGAAGTAACTTTGTATAAAAATAAGTGCTATCAGAATACCTTTGGCGAGAGATTGGACATTTAGCCGGCAAAACAAAATATGTTATGCGTTTAAAAGATATATTATCTCTTCGAAAAAATGTTTTACAGATAATCTGTTCTCATTTCTGATTGATTAGTCTCTGGACTGAATGTATCAGTTAACCAGGATATTTGCCTTATGTAGAGATATCCACTGATACATATCAATAAGTAAAATCTCGATTTCCTTTTTATTCCAGATTTGTTCTGTTTTAGCATTGAGGTACACGTGTGAGCGCCGCACCGCGCCACTGCATTATCAACTGATCAAGCGGAGATATGTAAATAAAGCTTTTCATTGACTATCCATAGTCCCCACGGTGACGATAAAGGACTTCTTTTTCTTCCACGAATTTTATTTTGTAAATGAGATAAAAACTGCACGAACAGGAATTGAAAGATAATCTTACCAGATAGGAAATCTGTACGCGTCTCGTCAAAGAGAGAGTGCAGGGGTACGCTTTTCCAAGGTATTCCGAGATTGGATTGGATAAAAAATTGGCCATTCAATAAAATTGTGCTAGGTCACATCTCATGATAAAAAAGCTGAAACAAATAGGTCAATTCTACGGCATTTTGAATAGAAAATAAACAAAATCATTTTAAAAATCGGTAATTTTACCTGGTTCGTCATTTTTCTTTCTATATTACAATCCCTTTAATTCGTCGTATCACATGACTTTTCTCTTCGTTATTTTGAGAATCTGATTACTTTTTTTTATCTTCAAATTTGTAATACTTTTATTTTTTTAAGCACTCATCTGGAAAATTGAGGCATTAATTTTCTTTCTTTTTTTTTTGAAAATAATTTTCAAATATTTTTTATGCCCTATAGTTTAGCTGAGAATCATCGTGCTTAAGTTGTGTTTGCTCAACTTAATCATTTTTTTTTATTTATTGTATCTGGGAATGAAAGCTATTATGTATGATAAATGCCTCAAATATAATGGCCCCCTTCAATGAATATCTTAATTTTACTTTATATATAGATTTACTTTTCACAGCTATATATCTAACATTTATTGGCCATTTTCAATTTGATAAAAATTCAATTAATTAAGAAATATGATATAAAAAATTTCCCTCAATTTTAACATATTTTGTATAAAACTGCTTTTTTTTTCTTCCCGAAAATACTATGCGCAGACTTGAACAAACTTTATATTTCTACCAAAGATGTATATATACAAGAGTTATTACTGACAGAAAAATAATGCGTATTGTACAGGTTTAGATTGTACAGTGCGCTCTGTTTTCCATAAGAAAAAGATCAGGAAAAAGGCATACCTTTTGCTTCTTTTGGTTAGATACCAAAAAATGGCATCATTTCTTTTCTTTTTTTTTTTAGGTCAGTGGGTCATATAAATGTGAAAAAAAATTATTGGAAATATTTACAATATAATCTCTTCTTCAAAATATATATTATTGAAATTTATCTGAATATATCGTTCTAAAATACAATGTATTGACTTTTCATGGCCAAAATTGGCCTATTTATTATATAGTCCTTTCCGACCAAAACAAAGAACAAGCACTGAAATATAAGAAATTTTTTATCACGTTTTACTCTTTTTTTTACATGTAAATCCACAATATTTGAATTTGAATTTTTAAAAAAAAAAATCTTGTAAGGAAAACCTAATGAACATCTAAACAGTTTCAAGAAGTTGTGTGATTAATTTTCCCACTGATATTTTAAAATGTTGTTACATTTGATGAATTATGTTGCCTTTTGTGCCAGTGGGAATGAAGGG